AATATGTGCAGGACTTCAAGGAGTACATAGACAGTGAAGGACTGAAACCTGAACAATTGTTTAATTGTGACGAAACAGGCCTGTTTTTTGGGAAAAAAATGCCAAGCAGGACCTACATTACTCAGGAGGAAAAGGCACTCCAGGACAAAGCCTATGAAAGACAGGCTTACTCTGTTGATGTGTGCCAATGCTAGTGGTGATTGCAAAGTGAAGCCTTTATTTGTGTATCACTCGAAACTCCCCGAGTGTTCAGGAAAAACAATGTCCTCAAGGCTAATTGTTGTGCTGTGGAGGGGAAACAGTAAGGCAAAGGGTCACTAGGGGCTTTTCTATGACTGGTTACACCATGCATTTGCCCCCACTGTGGAAAAATTACCTAATTGAAAAAAATTAGACCTTTAAATGCCTCCTGGTATTAGACAATGCTCCTGGTCATCCTTTAGACTTTGCAGAGCGACTTTCTAGGGACATGAGCTTCATTAAGGTGAAGTTTTTGCCTCCTATACCACTCCTCTCCTGCATCCCATGGACCAGCAGGTCATTTCCAACTTCAAGAAACTGTACACAAAAACTATGTTTGAAAGGTGCTTTGTAGTGACCCCAGAAACTCAACTGACTCTAAGAGAGTTTTGGAAAGATAATTTTACCATCCTCAATTGTGTAAACATTATAGGTAAGACTTGGGAGGAAGTGACTAAGAGGACCCTGAATGCTGCTTGGAAAAAACTGTGGCCAGAATTGTAGACCAAAAGGGATTGTGAAGGGTTTGAGCTAACCCTGAGAATCCTGTGCCAGTTGAGGGAAACCATTGTGGCATTGGGAAGTCCTTGGGTTGGAGGTTAGTGGGGGATGTGGAAGAGCTGGGGGAGGAGGGCAATGAAGAACTAACCACTGATGAGCTGCTAGATCATCTTGAACACAAGAGGGCAGACCTGAGGAAACTGCTTCGGAAGGGGGGGATAGAGAAATTGAAGAAGTTGCCTACTTCTAAGATTAAGGAAATGTGTGCAAAGTGGCTTGAAGTGCAAACCTTTTTGATGAAAATCACCCCGACACAGCTACTGCAAGCCTGTTTTGGGAACCTGTACACTGACAATGTTTGAACCACTTTAGGAAAAATCATAAAGGAACGAGAGGTACAGGTATCTATGGACAGATATGTTGTGCACAGAAGTCCAGTGACTGAAGCTGGTCCTAGTGGCATTAAAAGAACAAGGGAAGTAACCCCAGAAAAAGACTTGCTACCTCAAGTGCTAATGGAAGGGGATTCCCCTTCTAAACACTAAGAAGATCACGGTCTCCCCCTCCCCATCCCAACAAACATCACCGATCTTTTAATAAAGGTAAGGGGCAGTAATGTGCAGTTTTCTTCATTTGTGTGTATTAAAAAAATTTAAAATTTCATGTGGTAAATTTTTTTTTTTCAAAACTTTGGGGGGCTTGCACGGATTAAATTTTATTTTTCCCTTATTTTTTATGGGGAAAAAAG